ACACCGAAAAATACGGTAATAAACTCATCGATTCTACGAATTAAAAAAAAACAAACCTCGAGCTAAAATATCGTCTCTTTATAGAACAAGTGTAACATGAATACATATAAATATGCATAGGTTACTAATGCCGTAAATATTCTGCTATACGAAATCATATAAGCGTTGGGAAAAAGAAAGGGGAGAATATACATATATATTAATATGAAATATGTATTTTCGAAACTATAGTAGAGTGTATACTTCAATATACTTTTTTAAATAAAAATGTTATACAACGCACAAACTAAAGATATTTTCCTCGGTTTTGATTTAATCACAATTCGATTCCAAGTAAGTGAGGTTGAAATTAAGAAACGAAATTAGTTATAATCCTTGTAATTTTTTTTAATTGTGATTGTTTGCTACCTAACACAGTGAGTATGGAGATAATAATGAACATGTTTAATACACATTAAGAGAGAGTTTTTGATTGGCTTTTGAGGTGTCTGCTGTGATACATTGGCAAATCATACTTCATCTAATAAAACACTTTTAGGTATTATTTTTCGTTAAATAAAATGATTCCTCGCATCGAGTACAGCCAACCTTTAATAAATACTATAATAATAATAAACATTATTTTTCAATGGGAGTAAATTAATTAGCGTTCTTGAATATTGATGACGACAAACAAGTATTACAATTTCAAGTTGGAAAAATTTAGTTAGATAGGACTTTTTGAATGTATTTGAGCAAATACTTTCAATCAAAATTCCTATAATAAGTAAAAAAAATGTATTAACTTTTTTTTTATTAAAAATTACCATGTTAATAAATCTTTGATTTTTATTTCTTCTGTGGTAATTAACTATTGTTAAAACGATTGTATAGCTATTGCTTATCAATGATGAACAAATGCCAAATATATACGTAAAAAAAAACGTTCATAAGTATGTGCAAAATAATATCTTTAAATATATGTAAAATAATATTCGTAAATATATGTAAAATAATATTCGTAAATATATGTAAAATAATATTCGTAAATACATGTAAAATAATATTCGCAAGTATATGTAAAATAATGTTCATAAATACACGTAAAATAATGTTCGTAAATACATGTAAAATCCTGTTCATAAATACACGTATAATAATGTTCGTAAATATATATATATATATATAAATAATGTTCATAAATATATATATATATATAAAGAAATGTTTGTAAATATATGTAAAACACTGTTCATAAGCATAATTCAAATAACGTTAATAAACGTATGTCAGCTAATGTTTGTAAACATATGTCAATTAATAATCACGAATGCATATTAAAGAGCATTCATGAAAATATGTCAAATACAGTAAATATAATCAACTTTTATTCATTAACCTATATCCAACAATGTTCATGACCATGTTCAACATTAGAATATTCAAAAATTCAGTTCGGGAGATGAACGAAACATACTAGAAAGTAACACGTGAGATCTGAAGTCACTGATTCACTACAACGTTTAAAAGAAATTATAAAAACAGATTCATTAAATTATGTTTGTTTATGTAAGAAATGATTGTAATATTCGATCACAAACTTGAAATCTGGCTACGAATATCACCACCGGGTGTAGTCGGAGGAGGAGTGTACTGGGTCGTCAACGGAGCTGCTGGAGCAGGTGCAGGAGGTGGAGCCTTAGTAGGCTGGAAGAAATGTTACCTTTTATTAATTTCATCATCTGAACTCATCTAGATAATACTAGCACATGTATTTTCTTTATCAAGCTCAAGGGAAACTTTTAAATGATTATCTTTCTAGAAACTCGTCAAGCGAATGGATAAAATAATTTACAACGTCTTAAAACTTTGAAAGATCCCTGAGATTGAATTCTACTTTTATATACAGTTATAGTTATAAAACTCTTTCAGTAAAGTTTGTAATTTTACCTTTAATATCTAAACTTCACATTTTCTTTGACTATACTTATAAAGACTAGAAGCATGGCTCCGCATTGAAGGATTTGTTAGCATTAACTGGAGTTAGAAACTGTTACATACAGCAGCTGAAGTGTTATATTTATATACACCTGCATGCCGTAAATAGCAAATCTTTTCACAAATCTTCATTGCACTTATCAATTCAGCAATGACGATGCATTGTTAATATTATCAGAACAAGTTGTGTTTGCGGTGTATAATCAATAAAATCAAAACATTATGCCTGTTTATGGCATATGCTTAACAGCATGAAAATAGGTTTTGTTTATGTTGCATAACTAATATTGTTAATTAACGGCTATACATGGTTTATGATTAACAATATGAAAGTTTAATTTAGATGTATAACACTTTTCTCACTAGTATTAACCTAAAATACTTTAATTGTTTGGATAACATGTGATATTCATCGGCACAATTAACATACCATTATTATTCAGCGGACTAATTAGTTATTTCATGATTTTCAAACAAACTGCTTACATTCCACAACAATATAAGGCCTACTTTATTTATTTACTTCGCTCTTGCTGATGTACTGAAATTTACGTTTTTGAGAGAAAAAGAAGTTCACAAGTAAATATGAAATTTCTTGTTTTTGTTTATGATGTATGCTAGACTATATTAACGTTTGTTTGTTCTTTGGTAGAAGATAAAAAAATTTAATATATGTTGTATTTATGATACATGCTCAGCAATATTAATTAAAGTACCGTGTGCTGATATATTGCAAAAATGATTGATTTCTCATGTACATGGTATTGAAATGAAAGCATGTATTTTTTTAGAAAAAAAAGAGGAAAATGGCGAATTTTGTTTAGGACTTGCGAATAAAAAAAATACTCTTGTATTTGAAAGAAGTGAACAATTATTTTTTTCTGATATACGTTATTGCAGAGAAAAATCCTTTATGCTGAATGATAAGTCAGTGATATGCTTATAAAACAATGATGTCGGCTTAGCATATTAAAATAAAAAAAGGAAATTCAGACACAACTTCAAAATGTTAAAAAAAAGTAAGCATTTAAAACACAAAAGCAAAACCTCATACAAGGATGCTAAAGAAAACACAACAACGATAAATAAATGCATTAACTCACACAAAGAAAACTAGTTAAAAGTCAAGCAGTGTATACCCGAAAACATACAATAATTAATGAACACGTACCAATAAATAACCGTATTGCAGAGATTTGTCAAAACTGATAATAAACTGTGTCCGTCACACTTACTGCAAAATATTTTCAACCAAAAACCCACACTAGTCCAAACAACACGAGCCTAATATCTGCCAATCATATAACCATATCCGAAGGTTAATAAAGTAATTGTTAAACACATACCAAGTATTGTTAGATATATGCCGACAGTTACTAATCATAATACATATTACTTACCATTCGTATGCCAACAGTTTCTAATTACATGTTGCCAACACTGACGACGGACAGACCAACTCCTAACCAAGCGCATACCAGAAATTGTCAATACCATAATGTTACTTATGTTGCTTGTATCCCCGGTTTTCAAACGTCTAAAGTACATTACCTGATGTTTACCGACTATTAATAACCACAGACCAGGGCTTTAGTCGTATGAACCACAAGTACCAGATATCGTACATGAAATTTAGAAGTTATATGTCAAAAATTACTAGTCACGTGGCAAAAATACCAGACGTAAACCCACCACACTGGTCAGACTTATTTCCAAATCTTGTTTGACACAGATTTAGTTTCTTTACGCGCCAACAAAAACGGATATTCCAGGTTGTTTAGTTTTCCAGCTGATTTAATGCTCATATTTTCTTCTTTTTTTCGATTTTTGATGCTGTTAACAGACCAGCATAGATCCGGGTTAGTGAACTATATTGAATCGATGGTAAAACGCAGTAATGTTTTATGTCACTTTAGAGGGGAATTTCTCTTAATTCCCAAAAAGGGATTTTAACTGTAAAATATAATATCATTTATATTTTCAGTCTTTCTAATTGAGTTCCCAGAACCTTGTACGGTTATAATAACGGTTCTACAATAAATTAATTCTGGGGACAACTATCAAATATTCACGTTTCTACGTAGGACAACTTGCGAACTACCGGTATTCCACAATACAATATTCCAGTTTGGGGGTAAAATATTCTGACAACTAGTATATTTATTTGAACCTCACTAGAAAGTAATAAAAGTAACTGTACACTAGATGGCCGGGTGTGGCTTAGTGGTTAGCATGCTGAGGTGCAGATTGGAAAATCAAAGAGTTAGCCGGGATATGCCTCTTAACAATCTCTGCACTTTCCATCTTGGGGAGCGTTATAAGTGTAGCAGCCATTTCCGCTAATTAATTAAGAATAGTCGTATAACGTACGGCGAGTACTTCTGATTGGTCGTCCTATGCACCTACTTATTGGAGGCCTCTGATGTGGCCGTTAAGACTCTGTGTCGTTTAAGTTGAAAATACCAATTCCACCCAGTGGATTTCAGTAAATAAAGTTTTAGTCTTGTAGACTCTTCTTCTTCCAAGATACGTTGACAATAACATACTTACTCTAAAATAATCGTAGAAGAAAACAGAGAACACAGTGAGTTTCTTTATCAACAAAAACTGAACATTCAGAGAAGTAAGTAAAAGGAATTATAAACAGGGAGAAGACAAGTGACTTGTAATATTTGTCATAGCTGTTTTTATTTACAACTTACCGAGAGAACAGTGTTTAAATGTACTGGATTGTGTTTCTTTCGTGTTTTATTGTACAGATTTTATCCCTTTTCTCAGCATAAGAGTTTATGCTGATTACATATGAACCAATGGTTAAATGCCATTATTTAGGTTAACAGTTTATTTTCGTTAGAAACTTCTAAGCACTATACCCGCCGACATCGCAGAAATACGCTAATGGAGGATCCCTTAAAGTGTAGGTTAGATATCAGTTTTAAAATAAGTTTGTTTTCTGTACTTGTAGATGTAGAACACTAAATTTTGTTGTTTAAGTAGACGAGTTATGTGAAGAAAATACGCGGTTACTTTGTTATCAAAATCCAATTTCTGGCACCAAAAGTATTTCTATATTATCTAAAACTTTCCAACAACTATCTTAATATCAGTTAACTGGGACATAAAACGCATACTATGCTTTCCTAACCCTACTTTGTAATGTTTGAACATCCTGTTAATTCATTCTATTATCCTTTTTTCACCTAAACAATGTAATGATTCTATATTTTTCTAGGTTTCAACTGAAATAGATGCATATGTTTGTGTATACCGGGTTTACAATTGTTTTGGGAAATTAAGCTAATTTACGCACGTAAGCCACCTACCTTCCACATACAGACACATATATACTTAGAGATTTCTAAATGTACGCGTGGTGTAATGTTTGAGGGATATTACTGTTTTTTTTTAACGCTTACTATGTTCTGATTCATTATGAGAATGACACTGAACAATGTCTTAAAACATTTCTCGCTTCTGTGCATATGTTCAGTTAAGTTTTAAAAATACTTTTATGATTATTATCATTACATGGATACATTAAAATAACGATCATTCTCATGATTGTAATTTATACTGGAAAATTAAAAGCTAAAAATTTTTTATTATTACTTTTATGGACCAAGGCAGATGAAATAATAGCTATTGCCTCTTAGTTTTTAGTTCTGAAGCCACTGTACGCAGTGATATATATATAGTTAACAACTATGTTAATTTAAAATTACCTCTTGTTTTGATGAAATTACAGATGAAAGAAAATAAATGGCGCCAGAACGATCCTGGGTCGTTTGGGTATGTTTAAAGTCAGGCTGGTCAGTATGTTCTCTGACCTCAGACTGGTTAGTTTTTGAGAGAGCATCGTGGTTAGTCTGTGGTATGTTTTCCGACTGGTTAATTTGTAGTGTGACCTCGGATTGATTAGTTTCTTCAGCTTGGCCAGTCTACGATGAGGATGAATTCTTTCCTGTTAATTAACTCTTATAAAGGCGTTTCAAGAAATATCGTTAGGAGAACAATAGTTTTAAAACAGAATAATTATATACACAAGACAATTCAGTTGTGTTCCTATATAACAGACTAACAATTATGTTATTTTGATAACGAAATATCTTTTTATTACACACAGGAGTTTACACATTATTAAATATGTAAATAAACATATACGTCACACACTCTTTTATTTTTCCCACAGTATGAGTTATATTATACGGGTTATATAGTGTATTGAATGACGATTTACTTACAACATAGTACAATAAGTTATATGTATCTAAAAGTAAACACTATGAAGATACAACATGGACAAATTGCCAACCAATCAAGCAACAACTCAGGGAGTTGTATATTAAAAAGCAAACAAAACAAGCCTCTTTAGGCTTCATAATACAGAGTTCGATGCTTCATAAACGGCTTATACAGACGGTCCATGCTCCGGCATGTACCATACCTTTTAAAGACTACATTTCCGGAAGCGTGTTTATCATGAAAACTAAAACCCAAAACAAAACAAAAAATTCAACTTGTGACCATATCAAACCATTATATACCAAAAGGGCTAAATACATAAATGTCAACTTAGCACTACGATTCATAATTAAATAATACGCTTGCTTATTAGTAATTAAAGTACGGATTCTTCCGTATATAACAACGTGAGATATGAATACTTCATATAATATAAGGAACCTACGTTCATCATCTGTATTGATACTTTATGGACAAGAACTACTTGGAAAATATCGACAAACAGACTTATTCTTTCTAACTTTTGGTTCTGATGTTGCGCATGCTCGGTTCACTGGTTATGCTTTATACATGCTCTGCGTTAGAGAATACTTAGGTAAATGGAAAACAAATCATTCTTCATTAACATGAAGATTAGTTAAAGCTTATATCGCAAGAAGACATGCAGGACCATTTGCAGCCACAAATATTTATATATAAATAGTCGTTTTTGATTAATGCTGTCCAAATGCTTTACAAATTTTACTCAAACGTCTTTTAAAATAACATACGGTTTTTGAGAGGACTTGTAACTATAAAACAGATATATTTAAAACTTTATGAAATTTTTCTTCTGTTTGGCAGTAAAATTAGATAATCATAAGAGTCAAAATCAAAACAAAACTTGTGAACTTCCGATTCGTTCCTTTTTATTTTTATAAAACTCGAGTCATATTTGAAGTGGGAATGAAGGTAGTATTACATTATACTTTTAAAAGAAAACTGAATATTATTTGATTTATTTTAAAAGTCCGATATCAATAATTTCGCTTTAAATCATAAATTGAAAATTATCTGTGACTTTCTTTTAGTTGTGATAACAAATTAGCTATCAATTTATGTTATTTATACAGACAGTGATTAAAATGACTGATTTAGAAAGTTATAGATGGTTAAGTAGATCTTGACCTTATCACCACCTAACTCTCTGTCGTACAACAAAAACTGGACTCTTTTTTTGCTGATACCTTAGAGACCACAGCAGAAGAAACACCAGGCTTCTCAGCCCAAGGAGCACTGCCTGTGGGGCCGAACACTGACCGCAACGGCTTGGGTCGAAAACTTGTAGGGGAGTCGACGTGGTGCACCTCTGGGGTGCCACGCTAGAGGGCATTGTCAAAAAGTAAGGAAGTACTGATGACATCACAGTAGAAACATACTAGCTATTTACAAAATTCACAACTCCTTGCGTAAAAACGGAAACCCATCTCTAAATGATTTAGACGATGTTTTTCACTTGCTTAATAAAAATTTCATTTATTTATGATTTTCAAGTGAGGCAGAAATATCCTGTAGAACTTATTTTTTCTTACTATATTTTTTACTTTAATTTCTTGTTTCAAATTTCTTCGAAGACACTTTGAATCACACGAAACTACGAAAACTTTATACGATCCATTTTATCATTAAAATAACGATATTTGTTTAACTTGAATGTCGATAAAATTTTCAAATTCGTATGCTCATCTCTAAATTTTTCAAATGGATGCAAATTCAAATAGTGCTCTTTAATAAGATGTGATTTCTTTGATTTAGTGAATATTAAAAGAAAATCACATTTATGCAGACCCCCTTAAGCCTGCATAATCAATGTTTTAAAACATGTGAAAACTTTGCAATAAACGTAGCTCCAGAGAAATAAATCTGAACTGGAATGATTATTAAAAACTCAGATTCTAACTATAAACATTCTTTTATTTCGTTTTCTAAGTCTTCCGATTCGTCTTTGAAATTTAATTCCATTGAGTTCTGAGAAGGTACACAAAGAATGAGAAGAATTGGCTTAAAGAATATGGTAACAAAACTAAATTTGAACTAAAATTAGCTTCCGTTAAACAGCGTGGTGACCCCGTGTTATATTTAGAGCCAGGTGTATGTGTCTTGGCAAGGGATGCTGTAGTCAGAACCTTCAACATACATTTGATGCTGGTGTGAATAGTATTGTTTCTTTCATACAAAAATGTATCAATATTGCATTGTTAAAAATATTAAGCTAATGATTTGTTCTACGTGGAAAATGCCCTGCCGTCATTGTATGTGTTGAAATCGAAAATTAGAATTAACGTAGAGATGAAAAAAAGAAAACATGTTTCATTAGAAACTACAAGTACAATAATCAACAAAGACATTCAACTATGAAAACAACCACAGTTTATGAATACACAGGGATGTTTTAAAGACATGTTATGCGAATCTGTATTTAAAGAAAAACTTTATGATATGTGAAAGTATGTTCAGATGGGAAACAAATGTGATTTAACGGGTAAGTACAAATAATGTTATCTGCTGTTTCGTTCACTTCTTCTCCCTCAAAAAACAATCAAATCAAAGAGATGTGAGTAGAAAAAAACAAAAGATTTTCACTTGGATTTACAATTGATGCAAGGTTTCCCTATTGATAAAGTTTTAAAACGTGATAAATTAAAATATCGTTCAGTAAAGTTTATGCAGCTAATTTGTATTTATTCATTCTTAAGACGTATTCTTAAGACGTATTTTAAATGCATAATCACATAACTCACAGGCGTGTGCTATGGCATCAACTGATCTAATATTCGCATTTGGTTTAATATGAAGGACTTTAGGAAATCCCCTTCTTGTAAAATGGATCCCTAAAAAGTAGTAAAGTCCTATAATTGCTAATCTCAATTTCAGTCTACTCTCTTGTAAGGTACATGCAGAGGAGTGATCAAGAAAGAAAGTTATTATTACTGAAGTCATCATAATGAAGGGAAATCAATTCATACTGTTACTTTTGTTACCATATTCCATTATCTCTTTTTAATTAAAAAGGGATAAATATTATTATTTTGTTCCTATAAAAAAATTCCATTAAAGTGCTGCCATCTTGTAAGGTGTTTCAATGGAGTTACACATTACACGTGTTAAACAATGGAAAAATTCCATTATGAATAAACAAATCGAGAAATGTTCAAAGCGTAGAAATGAAACATTCTTGTTTCTTTACCGACATGAGCTATGCTTTAGAATGTAACAATAGATCAACATTTCAAACCGACTGAGCCATCCTAACCGTATATATATATATATATCACGTTTATTATTGAATATCAAGTTTACCCGTTGTTGTTTTATATCATCTTTCTTTACACATCATAATCATATCAGATAACGGTTATATAAAGATTTTTTTCTGCTTCCCTTTAAAAAGTATGGCAGGTAAAACAGCTCAGATTTGTAAGCAAAAAGTGTTGATTATTTGTTCTGTTTGTTGTAGCACATAGCTACACAATAGGCTATCTATGCTCTGTCCACCAAGCGAAATTGAACCCCGAACTTTTAGGTTTTAATTTACCACTGACCCACTTGACGACAAAGTTGTTGATAAGCTTGATATTTATCTTATGGTCCTCGGTGGCCCAGCGGTAAGCCTGAGAGCTTATAACACTAAAAGTGAGGTTTTGGTACCCTCGGTGGGCAGAGCACAGATAGCCCATTGTGTAGTTTGCGCTTAACAATAAACAAATAAATAAACTATTTCATATATCACGAGAATTTATAAGTAGTGGTTAATTCATGATGATTATTTGTGTGTGTAACTGAGCTTTAGACTGAAATAAAAGAGATAAACATAAAATAATAAAACGAAAACAAAATTAGCAATTCAAAACATCTGTAACATATCAAAATTTAGAAACTGAAGAGTATAAGAGTGAAACAAAATAGAACTTTCGAATGAAATTAAAAATATTAATATTAATAATTCAAATGAAAATATATCAATCTAAGCATCAAAATATATTTCAGTACGTAAAATAGTTTTAACTTATGAAAACAAATGGTACTTATAAATTTAAAGGGTGAATTTATATTTATAAAGGAATGATCCAGAGGGCTTTATAAATAAAGTAATAAGAAAAATTCGGAGTATTTGTTCCCAGGTGGGGCAGCTGTAAGTATTCGGGTTTACAACGCTAAAATCAAGAATTCAATTCACCTCGGTAGACACAGCAGATAGCCCGCTGTGGCTTTGCTATAACAAAACATACACACTCGAAATATTTTATTTTGACTAGTTAACATGAGCTTCAAGTTGCGCTAAACTGGAGTGGTTTTATATAATTCATCCTTGTAAAGGTACTGTTGGATTTCTTTATGAATTATTTATATTTTTGCGATATCTTATGAAAGAGTGAATATATATATATATATATATATACAGACGTGACTGAAAATATCTTCTTTAACGTATGCCTTCCTTTAAATGGCACACAAAATATAAACGTTTATCAAAAGAAAGCGCTTCTTTTTAACTGTTGTTACGCAAGTTTAAATCATACATAAAAACAATTGATGTAACATGAATTATAGTTTGTTTTATTAAAGTTCAACAACCCCAGAAGTGTCAAAAACATATTAGAAACGTCTATTGAATTAGAAACTTTTATAAAGCAAGAAAAAAAACCCTACACGCACAACAAAATAGCATACAATTTTAAGGACAAAAAGAAAACGCAACTTGGCAATACATCATAACAGTTTAGCTGTAACACATCTGTCATTATCCCTAAAATTGTTTATTAGTGGTTTGAAAGCTGGAGTTTTAATACATATTATATTTATTAAATCTTTAAAGGAATTAACTTTCCAATGTAAATAGCACACTAAGGCTAAAAACAAGCAAATGACACATATGAGCCTTATCATTCCACCCCGAATGTCAATGTCTCTTGAAAAACGCACTGCCATCTATTGACCATTGCGAAAATAAACTTGGCAGTTTCTTAATTGAAAGATAAAGAGTAAAATAATAAAGTTACTATTATATTGAATGTGTTGTCCATCGTTCCAAACTTGAGTGCTATTCACTATGAATAATAACTCAGAACCCTTCATCACTTAACATATTGATAACCTCAGCAGTAAACAATTAGTAAAACTCGAGGAGTTTTTAAAGAAGATAAAAAGAGAACATACGTAGAACGGCACTGGAGACACATTACTGTAACTTGAAGGACTGGCTGTAGAACTTGGAAGTTTTGTAGGTGGAACAGGTGGAACAGAACCAACTCCAAGGGCGGTATAGTCTGTAGGAATAGCACTCCCACTAAAAGATACAAACCTGGAGTGTGAAAACTGAGAAATAAAACACACGACTGTATAAGAAACACATTAAATATATACATTCTTTGTTCATGAAATACTAATTTTCAGTTGCAAGTTTTTTAACACAAATGAATAATATATAAGTAATTATTTCACTACAACCGGTACCACTAAGGACCGATTATATGTAAGACGTTGTTGTTTTTTAAATGTACTCTAGTCTTTTTTGTACCATAATTTTTTCCTTTGATGGATGAACATACCATTCAGGAAGTAAAATCCATTTTAATAATTGGAGCAATTTTGACGGAATTAATCCTGCTTATTTATCTACTCCTGAGGAATTCCTCTTCTAGGCTTATCATTATTTCTTAACTCTCTCGGAAACAGGATGTTCATTTGCGTTTAAGCACATAAATGCACACTGAACTATATATGCGTTGTTTCCAATGCAAAGATCGAACCCTAAATTTAAATATTACAAGCCCTCACGTTCACCATTGAATCACTGGTGGAAGGACAGAGACAGAGTGCAAAGAGTCATAAAACTATAGAAAGTTCAATTTCAGAATTATAAATGAGTTAAGTTTGAGTTATGTCGATTTTAACGTTTGCAAGTGTAAAAACCTTATTGCGGTTCTTGTGTATCTAATAGTACTTTTGAGATTTTAGAGACTCCCGCTTATTGTTAAACAATTTCTCAGACGCAAAACTTATCCATGTATAAATAAACACCTGTTTCTGAGGTATCAAGGTTTTCGAGGAGCTAGCATTATGTTTTAAGCTTCCATTATTTTTTGGTATTGTAAAAATTTCAAGAAATGCTAGAATTATCCAGGTAAGCATAGGTATTTCCGAGACACCATCGTTACGCTAGTAGAAGCAATTTGTTTTTGACGTTCAGTGGTTATTCAGTAGCTAAAATGTCCCTCAGTGGCACAGCGGTATGTCTGCGGACTTACAACGCTATAATCCGGGTTTCGATACCCGTGGTGGGCAGAGCACAGATAGCCCATTGTGTAGCTTTGTGCTTAATTCCAAACAAACAGTAGCTAAAACTATTTCTGAGAATGCAATATTTTTCGCTTATTGTCCACACTTTAACAAAATACCAAGGAATTTTCAACTCTCTCAGAAATATTCTTTAAATTCATTAATATTTATGTGTGAATTTAAAGCTCTTTCTATAATGTTAAAAAGTTTCTAAGATATAATTCTTTCTCAAAGGGACTAAATCGTTCTTATGAAAAAAAGGTTCTCGAAAAGACTCAACTGTTCCCAAGAAATAATGCTCTCCAGAGAGGGATAAGGTTTTCCTGAGGAACAAGGCTGTTCAGGAGACTCAATTGTTTAATGCTCTCCAGAGAGGGATAAGGTCTTCCTGAGGAACAAGGCTGTTCAGGAGACTCAACTGTTCTCAAGAAATAATGCTCCCCAGAGAGGGATAAGGTCTTCCTGAGGAACAAGGCTGTTCAGGAGACTCAACTGTTCCCAAGAAATAATGCTCTCCAGAGAGGGATAAGGTCTTCCTGAAAAACAAGGCTGTTCAGGAGACTCAATTGTTCCTAAGAAAAGAGGTTCTCCTAGGGGCTAAACTGTGTTTGGAAAAGAAGGTTCTTCAAAAGGCTAAGATGTTCCTAAGAAAGGAAGCTCTCCAAGGAGCTAAAGTATTCCTAAGAAATAAGACTATCCAGGAGGATAAAGTGTTTATGAGAAACAATTATTTTCAAAAGAAAAAAGTATTCCTAAGAAAGAAGTTTATTCAGGAGCGATGTAGATACTAAAGATCCCCAAGCATAGTTATTAGAAATGGAGGGTCTGTTTCCTTTACCTAAATATTTTTCTCACAATACTAGGACATTCGAGAAAACAATAAGTTATCCAAGAACATACATCTACAACAATAATACTAAGGTTTCCTTTATAGCTAAAAACTTCTGAAAGAGACTTAGGTTCTACAGTTAAATATACTTGTTTGAGACAAACTAACATATTCTAAATTTGTACGGATAATCTAGAAATCCCTACATATATTAAAAGCGTTTTGGGTTCTTCGGTTTGCTAAAAATATTTCAAAAACTATTAAGGTACCACAAGCGATTTTGAAACACCAGAGTTGTTCAAGTGGTTTACAGAGGTTTCAAAAATCCGATTCGGTTTCCAGATACCTAAAGATAAATCAAGAAAACGAAAAGTACCTAGCCAACTACAAACATTTCTGAAATGTGAATTTCCCAGTGGGCTAAGGTTTTACTAAAATATCAAAGTTCTCGGGAGAGAGAAAAGGGTATTGTTAAGAAATTAAGGTTCTCCAAGTGTTTTTCGAGATATGGAAATTGTTCAGGTAGCTACAGTCGTTTCAAAAATCTGGATTAGTTTCCACCTAATTACAGTTATATAAATGGCCTAAGGTTTTGCCAAGAGTCAAAATTATCAGGGTAGTGGAAGGTGTTTTTAAGAAACGAAGCTTTTCAAATGGTTGCACCCGTTCTAGAAGAACTAAACTATTATTGAAAGTCAAATGTGTTTCTGAAATATTCGCGAAGTTGATTCTTATGTTCTAGAAATGCTAAGATTTTTCAGAAACTTGAAGGTTCTTCAAGTACTCAAAGATGTTGTTGAAACACAAAGGATCTTGAGATACAGAACGGATTTTCTGAGATACAAATATTTTCAAAGTAAAGAAAGATCTTTCCGAGAAGCTATAGCTTTCTTAGTATAATAAAGCGTTTCTTAGACATCAAAGTTTTCCCAGTACAGAAAGATATATCTGAGACGGTATAGTTCTCTTGGTATAAAAAGGTGTTTCTGAAACACCAAAGTTTTCCAAGTACAGAAAGATATTTCTGAGACGGTATAGTTCTCTTGGTATAAAAAGGTGTTTCTGAAACACCAAAGTTTTCCATGTACAGAAAGATATTTCTGAAACGGTATAGTTCTCTTGGTATAAAAAGGTGTTTCTGAAACACCAAAGTTTTTCATGTACAGAAAGATGTTTCTGAGACGATATAGTTCTCTTGGTATAAAAAGGTGTTACTGAAACACCAAAGTTTTTCAAGTACAGAAAGATATTTCTGAGACGGTATAGTTCTCTTGGTATAAAAAGGTGTTTCTGAAACACCAAAGTTTTCCAAGTACAGAAAGATGTTTCTGAAACGGTATAGTTCTCTTGGTATAAAAAGGTGTTTCTGAAACACCAAAGTTTTCCAAGTACAGAAAGATGTTTCTGAGACGGTATAGTTCTCTTGGTATAAAAAGGTGTTACTGAAACACCAAAGTTTTCCAAGTAGAGAAAGATATTTCTGAAACGATTCCCCGGTAAAGTTAGCATGTTTTAAAGACATCAGTTTTTGAGTAGTTTAAAGTGTTCATGAGAAGTGAGGTTTTTTCCATGTGTTGAAATATAATTCTTAAGATTATTAATAAAGTTCTCCAGGTGGTTAAGGTGACCCTTAGACTAAAAGATTGCTGTAATGTTTTATGATTTATCAAGGTTGCCCTGATATAGGTGACATTTCTATATTTACTCAAACGTTCAAGGAATTATTATATATAACTTCTGAATATAAATAAACTAACCCTGTTACTAAAACTAAAATTTTCCAATTAAAGTATACGTTGATGAATAACAGCTCAGTAGACAGTTTGTTTGTTTGTAGTTAAGCACAAAGCTACACAATGGGCTATCTGTGCCCACCACGGGTATCAAAACTCGGACTTTAGCATTATAAGCCTTCAGACTTACCGCTGAGCCACTGAGAGCCAATTCAGTAGAACTAATTTATTGGTAATACTGATTTTAGTATAAATCAGTTAAAACAGTATTGTTTGGTAATCATTTTATATTTACATAATAGATACCCCAAGTAAAATTTATTGAATTAATGAACTTATTTTGTTCTTGCAGAATATTTTAATCATGTGCACAATAAAAGGCCACTCTTACAAAAAAAAGGTTAAATGAATTCTATAAAGTGAACTTAAGAATTTTACAATCATAAATATGAAGGAAATACTTGCAAAAAACATTTTGAAGATAATGATCTGGATGACATTATTAATTCAGTTCTATGTTTAGCATTTCATTCATTAAAAATATATTAAATTATTGTAGCTGACAAGTTTTAAATATTCAGTCTTCATATTTTTCATAAATTTTGCTAATTTGTGTATTTTTATAGCAGCTAATAATTATTTGATATTAAAAGATGATTATACACTAAACTAACGTGAATTAAGCTAGATTTAAAATTAATGAAATGTTTTATAAACAGACTGCCTAAAGAGGCTATGTGTTATGAACGAAATGTTGATGCACTTATAAAAATCACCATATTGAGTTATATTACGTTTCATATTTTCTAGTATAATCAGATAGTGTTATTAATTATATCCAGATTTAAAATATGGAGTATATTTTTATTCTAATTTAAACTACTCATGCACAGACAGCTCTAGGCAACAAACTATTAAAATAATTTAGATTCAGACTATTTGATTGAAGTTAAACACAAAGCTACACAAAGGGCCATCTGTGCTCTGCCCACCACGGGTATCGAAACCCTGTTTCTAGCATTGTAAGTCCACAGACATACCGCTGTGCCACTGGGGGGGGGGATTCAGACTATGAAGTTTATTCAGAATAAGCCTGCTAAACATATTCATATTTTTACGAGTACTCATATCCAAACCATTCAGTAAAATCAGATTCTAATTACTAAGATAATTTAGATTCAGATTATAAAGTTTATTCAGAATAAGCCTGCTAAACACATTCATATTTTTACGAATACTCATACCCAAACCATTCAGTAAAATCAGATTCAGATTACTAAGATAATTTAGATTCAGATTATTCATATCCAAACCATTCAGTAAAATCAGATTCATATTACTAAGATAATTTAGATTCAGATAATGAAGTTTATTCAGAGTAAGCCTGCTAAACATATTCATATTTTTTACGAATACTCATATCCAAGCCATTCAGTAAAATCAGATTCAGATTACTAAGAT